GATAACGAAGGGAGTGGGGTTATAGCGCAAGAGCGGGAGTGAGATTAGCGGTAAACTTTGTGACCAGTCACGAAAGTCACGGTTATAAAGGGGTATGACGTGAGGATTTTGGTCCCACTCATTAAAGTAAAGGGACAGGTATTGGAGGGGCTTAAAGTGCAAGGCTTAAACAAGGTCAGGGGGAGGTCGTGAAGCAGGGTGAGATACCTACGGATGAGTGACAAAAGGTACTCGACAACACGAGTGATCTTGGTATTGTCATAAAGGACAGAAACGGAGAACGGTTTGCGGTCAGGCTTGCGCTTAAAGTTGGTGCAATCACGAAGAAGCTTTCGCTCAAATAGGCAAATTCCTTTCATGTGCGCGGAAGAGATTGCATGCCAAATGGGGAAGACGTAGGTGAGTAGGGGGAAATTAGCGGTTTATAAAAGAGCAACTTAACTTTGCAATTAGACTGTTTGTGTCAATAATAAAAATATTTTATTGGGCTCCTAATAAACGTGAACATCTTTTAGGGATTAGTTTTGCTCCATACGTTGTATGGGGTAACAAAACTTCATTTTTAATAAAAATCAACTTGCTTATTAATATGTCATTTTCTGACAAAGGATCAATGTAAGTTTGAATTAATGAATTACTAATTCCACAAGAAGCAGTTAATCTTGAACTTTTTCCGTGTATAATTTAAATATTATTACCGTTCAAATTATAAAATTTGAATATTCTAAATAATAAATAGTACTGCTCTTATTTTGATCTTTCTATCTTCATCACAATATTAAATTGTGATTACTTCGATGTGAAATTTTGTTTTATTCACTTAATTTTTTATTAAGTTCTTATTGTTAAGTATTAATGTACTAAGTTCCCACTTCTAAGCTATTAAAACAATGACATAAAAATAACGTCATCTCATCACTTACGTATGTTTTATATAAGTATTGGTTACTGAGTGAAAAGTATGTGTATATGTATATGTATATCTACATATACACTCCGTTTCACTTGAATAGCACACTTCGTTTTTGCATTATTATTTGCTTATCTATCAATGATCTCATGACTTTGTTGTAATAATTGTTGGGTTTTTTTGTTTGTTTCCTTATGTAGTCTCCTCCAAAAAAAATTAGTACTGCAGAAATGTACCGTTAAATTTTCCCGTTATTTTCTTTTGAATTTGCATCAATAACTAGTATGTATTTCGTTTCACTTGAATAGCACATTTGGTTTCCAATTTAATTTATGAGTAGCAGCTCACCACAATATTAAGTTTTTTTTATTTATTTGTGAGTTTTAAATACAGTGTGACGATTTAAATTAATAATGGGTCGTGGTAATACTTTAACCAACGAAGAACAGGTCAAAATAAAAAGCTTCATTGATTCTGACCTGTCTGTAACTCAAATATCAAAAAAAATCGGAAGAAGCAGAAAAGTGATATACAATTTCATTCAAAATGATCTTAACTATGGAAAAAATATGAAAGGCCGTGTAAAAAGCGTCCTCAACTATGCAGATAAGCGGGCTATTTTGAGGCAAGCTTCGAATTCGCATGATTCGGTTAACAAAATAAGGTTAAAAGCTGGTGTCAATGCAAGCAAAACTACCGTATGGCGGGTTATTTCGAATGCCCAACATCTAAAACGGCTTAAATTAATAAAAAGCCACCACTTAACCCTATACATAAAGAAGCTCAGTTGACTTCTTGCCGTGCCAACATGTCATGGAGCAAGGAGTGGAATCACGTTGTTTTCTCTGATGAGAAAAAGTTTAATTTGGAAGGGCCCGACGGTTACAATTATTATTTTCATGATTTGAGGAAAGAAACTCATCAGTTGGAGCGTTTACACAGTAGAATGGGCGAAGTTATGGTTTGGGGAGCCATATCTTACTATGGCACTTGTGAACTCCAATTCTTAAACAAAACTATGAACGCAAAATCGTACCAAGGAGTTTTAGAAAAAGCTTTTCCTTCATTAGAGAATCTTTTTGGACAATTGCCGTGGACTTTCCAACAAGACAACGCCCCAATACATACTGCTCGTGTTGTAAAATCGTTCATTGAATCCAGAAATGTTGTTGTTCTGAACTGGCCACCATACTCGCCGGACCTTAACATAATAGAAAATGTTTGAGGATGGCTGGCTAGAAAAGTGTATGAATCTGGAAAACAATATTCAACAAAAACTGAACTAATTGAAGCAATTCAACGAGCATGGGCTACAATTTCCCTTGATTATATTAAAATTTTGTATGATTCACTTCCCGATAGGATCTATGAAGTTATATTAAACAAGGGAGGTTCAACTCATTACTAAAATGTTAATTTTAACAAATTAATCCTTAATAATAAATAAATAAACTGTCCCTAGTACATAAAATAATTAAATTTATTTAAAAAACAAAAATGTGCTATTCAAGTGAAACGAAATTTTTATGCTATTTATATACGTATTTAGTTTGTCATTTTTTAATATAAAAATTATTGAAAAAATGCAAGTTTTTTTATTTTTATAATAAAGATTATTAATCACACTACCTATAAAATCTAAAAAAAAATTGTTTTATTTCATTAGTTTAAAAGATATAAAGAAAAGAAATTAAATATGTGAAGTGTGCTATTCAAGTGAAACGGAGTGTACGTTATTATTGCTTATTCAAAATATTTACTTTTTATATAAGTTAAGGACCGTGTGCTTTTTTATTTTCAATGCATCTGAGAGCAGTTCGTATATATTTTCCTAGACGAATTAAACGTATCTGTATCTAACTGCTTGTTAGATACTTGTTTTTATTGTGAGATAATTATATGTTTGTAGATCCACGTGTGCTTAATATTTTTTAAATTTATTTGTGAGAACACTACGAGATTGTTTTCTTTCCAAAGATTTCGTGATTCATAATTTTTAAGCATACTAGATTAAATTGTTTTCAATCATATATCTTTCGTTTCACTAAAACGAGTATTTAATTGTTTGCTGTGCTGTAAAAGTGTAGAGCATAAATCGGACTCAAGGCTTTTAGCATATATTGTTTTATTCAAGAGCTATAAACTAGCAGCATTAGTTAAATGTCTTGAACTAATCTCTTAAAATTGTATGAATATTTAAATAAATGTTTATTTACTTTTCACAATAAATAAATGTCATTTTTTATTTATTATAACTGCAGTATGGGTAATTTTGCTATATAATTAAATTAGAGAATATAATCTTTAATTTGTATTTTTAGTTTTCACATGCACACATTTTTGTTATAATGCTATTTCGCAAATTTTGCAAATTTTATGTTTGCCAAAATCATATCTGACTCAGTTGTAAACATAGATAAGTTTTGCCTAACAACAAATGATATTTAATATATGAAAAAGTTGCAATCTTTTAAAATAAAATAGCTAGCATCTGATAGTGGAAATTGTGACAATATGTAAAACTTCGTATTTGATTCATATTTGTAAGTGTTATTGTGTTGTGAAATAAAGCACGCATTTCTTGAACAATTTTGATGTTTAAGTAGTATAAAGCTTCAAAAAAGATACATATACCTCTCCCATTATTCTCAAGACTGTGCGTTAGGTTACGTTTATTTAGTTTTAATAGATCCCATATAGAACGTGATAAAAGTAAGGATACGTTTGCAGAATGGTGTTCTCAAATGTCTTCCAATTTACTGATTCAGTATGCTATGTGCGCTTCTTATTTCAGAATTACCAGCATCACCTCAATCAGTTTATAATTATAAATAGGTTACATTAGGTATTTAGTTTTAATAGATCCCATATAGAACGCGATAAAAGTAAGGATACGTTTCCAGAGTGGTGTTCTCAAATGTCTTCAAACTACTGATTCAGTATGCTATTAAGTGAGACGTGCGCTTCTTATTTCAGAATTACCAGCATCACCTCAATCAGTTTATAAATAGGTTACGTTAGGTATTTAGTTTTAATAGATCCCATATAGAACGCGATAAAAGTAAGGATACGTTTCCAGAGTGGTGTTCTCAAATGTCTTCCAATCTACTGATTCAGTATGCTATTAAGTGAGACGTGCGCTTCTTATTTCAGAATTACCAGCATCACTTTAATCAGTTTATATTCTTTGACAATCGTATGACACTTCCAAAATCGGATATCGAAGATGGGTTTACAAAGATTAGTTGCCTACCTCCCTCCATTAAAATAACATATAAATATTTGAATAGAAACTGTTTAGTTATAGAACACGACTTAAATTAAAGTATTTAAATTTTTAAATATAGGTATATGAAAATATACAAAGTAGTTCTATTTCGCACTTAGTCCACATTTCCACATTTCCACATTTTCATATACCCTTTTGTACAGAAGTATAAATTTTCGCTGTCAACTTATCACTGATCTGTAAATATTATAATTTACGCATATGCTTTACTTGTCAGCCGACTTGAAGCATGTTTGATATCGCAATAATATAAAAACATTACTTTTAATACTATTTTAAATAAAAATAAACCATAAAGTTTTTAAACTTTTTTATTTTGCAAAATTATATCTTATCAATGATATCAGCTCTGAAGTCTGAATGAAGATAAGGACTACTTTTTTCAGATTTTTTGTGAATTACTTGATTCAAGTTTTAAGTGTGTGAAGCATTCCTTAACAGCAATTATTGTTGCTTCTATTTAATTTTAAATACAAAGACGTTTGATTAAATTAACTTTGTTCGCATTTTGTTATTGCTTGTATATCTTGGTAGGATTAAGTTCAAACAATTTGGTAATATTAATTTTAAAATTATTCAAGTTTTCGTTCATTTGAAAACTATAACGCCGTGGGTAATGGACGACGCAATCGTGTCACAATTTTTAAGAAAACGCTTTAAAATTGTGAAATTTTATTTATCTCCATTTTATAATTATAATATGGAATATATTTGATAATTATTGACGGCGAAAAATAAATTTTATTCAATAAATAAAAATTCATTTATTAAAATATAAATTATAAATGCATAAAACGTGAAATATGTTTAGTGGCTGTAATTCTTGGGAGAATTGTAATTTTCCACAGGAAGACAGTAGTTTTTATGATGATAACGATTATCAAAACTATAATCAATGTGAAAGTGAAAAGAATTGTTACCAACAACAACAGCAACCACAACAGCAATCGCACCAGCAACAAGTTTTAAATTATTATAACGATACAAATAGTAGATCACCGACAAATTTTTCTCAAAACTCTTCCCCAACGAATGAGCAATGTATTAACTTATCTAACCATTTTTATGCACAAAGTGCTTCAATATCAACAACAACTTTTAATAATGGCAAAAACGGTCAGAATAATAATAACTTTGGCATGCTACGTCATCATCCTTATCAGCGTGAATCATATGCGCAATATCAGTGCTCTCCAAATACAAAATATTTTGAGACTTTTCAGAGACAAATACCAACTGGTGGTGCAGTTATACAGCAGCCATTACAATATCAGCAACAGCAACAGCAACAGTTGCAAATTCAACAATATCAACAAATTCAACAAATTCAACAACATCAACACATTCAGCAACAACAATTTCGGCAGCATCAATTTCAGTCACAACAATCTCAAAGGGATTTATTCGCATCAGAGGTGTATCCAGATCAGCAACGTATTCAAAGTGTAGTTTCTCAACCCTTCTATAGCTCATCCTTAAAGGAATTTGGTAATAGAAGTGTTGAAAGTAATACTAACGATGCAACTTACGTTACACCTTCGGCACCGTGTAAAGGAAATCAACCGTGGACTTATGCTTACTGTTATGGATATGCCTATAATAATCAAGAACCATGCCAATATACACAATTTGTAGATATTGAAGACTTTATGTAAGTTGCCGTTGAATATTTAAAAAGGATAAAGTTTAGGTAAACTGGTTGAAACGAGGCATTTATAATACCTATAATGTATTATTTAAAACTTATTTTTGGTAAATCTTGATTACAAAGATGATTCGAAAGATGTTTGTTTGTCTGTCCACTTATTTTGATTCTAAGCTTTGCGAAGAGAATGCTACAAGGAAAGAGAGTTAGCTACATTGCAAATTGCAAACTTGAAGTATATATCTCATTTGTCTGATTTCTATATGTTAAAAGAAGTTAGTACGTTTCATTTTTTGAAATTCCAATGATGTTTACATATTATTGTTTCGGATATTTTAAAATGTCTATTGCCACTGGTATCGTTTGACAATTTCCTTTCCAAAGAAATTCATGAGAATATTTGCTTTCTTGTTGGTTTTACTTTTGTGAAAGCAAGTCTAATACATGAATTATCAAGAGAGATAACAAATATTTATTTTTGATAAAATACAATTGTTATTATATAAATAAAAATATAGAAAATACAGAAATTTCAAGATTTTAAAAATAAATTTAAAAATGAGTTAATATGTTTATTCAGGTGATTACAAACATACAAACATACAAATATATGAAAAATTTCGTATTTTTATATTAATATTTAATTTTTTATCTAAGTGCATTGTCTGAGATTGTTTTAACGCATTGGATTCCGGTTTCGCGTTTGTGCTCACAGTATTAATCAAACATACTATCGGTATTATTACCATGACCTAGTCAAAGAAGTCAAAGAAAATGTTGTCCATTATGTCGTATCTCTTAATACTTTTATCAATATAACTATAAGTATATTTTGACATTTACTCGTAAATTCCTTTTATGTTATGAATAATTTGAGTATAGTCACACCTTTTAATGCATCAGATAAAGTTTCTATTTTTAATAAAATTTTGTCTGTTCTATAAATTGAACCGATTTGATACTGAAGAATCATCCTAGATTTATAGTACAATAAAAATATTTCTACTATTTTACTTACTAACCAATGATATTTTGTAGATACGCGTTCATCCGGTTACATTTATTTTTAAATAAGAAGAGGTTTCAAACCTCTGTATAAACATTATTACTGATAAAAAATTTCAGTGCAGATACCCTTCTCATGCACTACTTTAATGAGAAAAAGTACGACCAATGCTGATGTTTTGATATTAGTAAAATTGTTTGGCATTTGATGATTCAATAATCACTTTAATCCAATTTAAAACATTAAATTCAATCCGGTATCGATGTTACTTTGCGCGCCTTCCGGTAAATGTACCTAACCGAACTTATATGTTAAGTATGGATCTTTCATTTTGTTGACTCACACCAAATTATTTTGATGAAGTATATAAAGTATATTTATATATTTATGGTTGGTTGATTGCAGTGACAGGCCATTGGATAACTTCCATGTACCTCAATTAGCGATTTTTCACCGTTTTGCTACCACATTCCTCTCAAGAACCCTAGTATTAAAGAGTAGAGACTAATTCCAACCCGCCGAATTTAGATATTTTAGTAGGTCTTTCGTCTTCACCGATAAACAGTCTGATAAACTATCAAAGAAGTATCTTCCTAAGAACCTATAACTTCTGGACGCCAAAGCCGGGCATTCACATAGAAAATGTATTATGGTTTCTTTCTTCTGCGAGTTTCCACAACTTCTGCAGTGAGCGTTATGGGGAACGCGCAGTTTCTCATGACCAGAAAGAATTGTAGTAAGCCTTGCAGTGTTCACGCGGTCTCTTTTAATGAGTTCCGAGAATCTATTTTTATTATAGGTGGACCATGTTAACCGGGAAGCTGCACATGACTTAAGTGCTTTCCATCGGTTATTAGCAAGTTGCAGAAAGTAGAGGTCTCTTAATGGTCTTTAGGGTATATTTAATATTTATTTTTAATAGTTAATATTTATATTTATATTATTTAAAGTATATAAATTTGAAACTCCTCCCGTGCAGCCTTTGGAAACCTTGCCTTCGATCCAGTAAAAATTTTTTTGTGTGGAATTAATAAATGTTGATATTAATGGCGCTTCAATGAGTGCCTCTAAATAAGTTCGTATGACGGACATTATTATTTTGTATTAGTTTGTAAACAACTCTCTGGTTGTTTTTAAGGTCTAATTGTGTCATTATTATGCAGTATATATCTTTATAGTCACAAATAATAATAGCATGTGTTGAATAGTAATTTTGTTTTGTGGAGAGTAAAAATTCCACTTATTAACGTAAATCTATATAATTGTGGTATATGGGAAAAACTATTTAAATATTTTAATTTGCAACTGTAATTATGACGAACAAAAACGGATTGAACTTTGTACAGTTGACTTCGTCCAATATACAAAGACATACAAATTTTAAATATGTACATATATATTTTTTAAATGTACTTTTCATAAACTTTTCTTTTTTTTTTATTAAAGGTAACTCTTTATTAATTTATTATTGATATTAAAATTAAATTTTTTGTATCTATATTAATAGAAGAATTTTTATATTAAATAAATAAAATTCATTCGATATCGTTGAATAAAAATTAATGCTAGTCATTTCTATATATATTTCATTTTTTTGATGACCTCGGACTATCTAATAGTTCCGCGTACATAGAACTCTACCGATTCTTATCAGCAATAAAAATAAAACAAATATAAATATTATTTTAAAATCATTATCTGCAGTGAAAGTTTTACATCTTAAGATTGTCGTTAGTTTTATTAATAGGACTGTAAGTGCAACTGTTGATTGTTGTTGATATTTTAAAACTATATTGTGTTTTTGTATTTTGTATTCAAAGCTATTTATTATTTACTTTGAGTTTTGAAAAATGACTGCATGCTATGTCTGGTAGTAAAGTAATATATTTCCAAATAACATTTCTTGACAATAAATATTTGGCACTCTCCTAAATCGACATTAATTCTATTAAATTAGATTAAATTAATTGTTAATATATTAATATATCTTGTAATAATTGTTTTTTTAATACTTTAGATTAAGTATTGTGAAGTATTAATTTATAAATATAAAATATTTATTTATTACATACCTTGACTTTGCATTATAATTATTGCATTTTTAGTTTATACGAGTTCAATTTATTATTCAAATGTTAAATTTATTAGAAACTGTCTTTAAAGTTTACTTATTAACCCAAAACAAGACAGTATTTAACAGATGATAGTAATTCCATTGAACTTAAAATATATACGAGTACTTATAAAGTATATACATATATATTATATGCGTGTGTAAATACATTACTTAACATTATGAATACACTATTATAGGATGTAAATAAAAGAGCAGTTATAAGACAAATTTCGATTTTATTCAATAACAGTTTTCTTTAAAAGCTTCTCTAACATTTCGATGCTTTTTTTGGGTACACGGAATAGGGTTCAGATTCGGGAATTACTTCTTTATTGGAGGCAAATTTCATTCCTAAAGGTATTCAGCTAACAAGTAGTAATCGCTGACAGGTAGTTTGATGACACAGTAGATATGGAATTAACATTGTTCAATTTTGGCATTGTGATGATCCACATGTTGTGTTATGGTACATTGGTTTGATCATTTGGTTCATTTTTCAATATTAAAAATAACATAATATAATCGAAATTAATAATCGAGGTAAAATTAATATGGTGACTAAAATCTTATCGCTTTCTTTGGATGTTTGCCCTTTTAGTTGTTTTTCGATTGGACTCTGAAGTGTAATGATCAATCCATGTTTCAACTATTATCTCTTTCTAACAGCGTTTATTATGATATCTTTAATGTGTTCGCTATCTTTTTGACATCATAACTATTTGGGTACTCAGATTATATCTACATCTAAGTTTAAAATTACGCATTTAAAGCGCTTTCCTTATATCTGAAATATTGAAAGTTTTAATATTGCCTTGCATTAGTTATTGCATTATATTTTATTATAATTAATAATAATAATTAGTGACTTGAATCCCCTGTGGTTCTTTAAAGTTCTTCCTCTTTTAATAACTCCCTCTTTAAGTTAAAGTTACATTATATTAATAGAGATTTTAAGTAACTAATATGTGATAATGCAAAGTATTGGTGATTAATTGCATTCTATTTTTTTGCAATAGGAAATAGGAAATTTCTGCTTAATACAGATTCACCTAAGATACTTTACAATTTTACTTCAATGGTTGTATTTAAAAAAAAAAACATTTTTTTGCACATCCGCTATAGTTTATATAACTCACACAGGTCATGGTTACTTATCTTTGTTTCCTATTTTAAAATACGTCTACGTCTGATTCACTTGTCTGTCGTTTTAGGTGATAAAGACAGTATAAAATATATAGGTCTTTACGCGTGCGGCACGTATTAATTGTAAAGGTAATAAGTTTACTGATTAAAAATTGAAAAATAACATTTTTATCTATACATTGTTGCGATACACTCACTGGTTGTTAGCAATTAATTTTGTCATTGTATTTTTAAAATATGTCTTCACATTTTTTAGTTTTTTATTGAAATTGGATGTTCTTGTTTTTAATGTATATCTGTTGCTACATTGGGTTCTCTGAATATCAGAAAGTAACATATTTGGGTATATTAAGCTCTATGTTTTATTGAATTATGTTATTCTTAAATTGTTTTTCTTTTCTTGTTGCTAGGTGAGTCAAACATGTGCCTGTTGCTCTTCATAAAATATATATATAATACTCTCTTATAAATGATAGATATAGTGAACAAGTAGGTGATATAGACAATAATTTTATCTAAGCTTTTTGTGTAGAACTTTAATGACATTCGCACTTGCATATATACTCTACAAAAATGTCAATGAACCGTCGTATTAAATATGCTATATTATGAATGGTATTAAAACGTTATAAATTAAATTAGGAATTATAAACAAAGTTACATATAAGAGGAAAAAAATGCTTATCATTTTCTAAAAAATTTTACACAATAACAATCTAAATGCATTATTTCATTAAGTTG